CTAAGATGACTTTACAAACTTAATTGTCTGAACTTGTACTTACTACATTCTAGACACATTTGATAATCTTTTCGGTTCTTACAACTACCCCCTAAGGCAGGCATTATCCCCACATGAGGAAACTGAGAAGGAAAGTAATTTGCTCAAGGAGCATAGCCAGCAAGTAGCAGAATCAGGGCTAAAATTCAGGGCTATGTTCTCAAAGGTCAAGCAAAACCACCGATGCTCCGAAGAGTCCTCCGATGTTAATGACTTACGGAAAACACGAAGCAAAGGTGGAGCAGCTGAAAAGTGACTGCAAAGTTTAAAGAATGAGTGGCAGGAAAAGTGATGTTCCCAGTGATACTGATGCAGACGAAGGAAGGAAGACGAAGGTGGTGAGTCCAATTCCGGACATACCAGATGGCGCACTAAACGTTCACTCAGTAGGTGGAAATATGGACGATACAACAGAACCTCTCAAAGCAGTGACCCCTGCGGCTGGCGAAACGACGAGGTGGTTCCGCAGTCCTGGGCCAGCACACAGTGGGCCCTTTCTCACCTCGTGAACAATCAGCTCAGAGGGGCACTCTGGTCTTTGGCATGTACATTCTGCTTGGCAGAATGTATAAAAAAGCCCTTATGAACTGACATAAAGGTGCTCTCCTGCTCGGAATCAACATCCACAGTTCTAAAGTGCAAATGATTCCACACACTTTTGAACTGAACAAGTAAATATTAAAGAGAACATACTGTATTGCTGTTATCGCACACACACCCCCAAAAACCCACTGATTTGGAATAAGTCTTGAGCAATTTTAGCACATCATCACTCAACTGAGAATGTAATACTTTTTAGTTAACACCTAAATGGAAGAAAACAACGAGAAACTACAAATATAATCTTTATTAAATTTCCCCAACTCTACCTTCTTTTCCATGTCATGAAATAAGGTTGACTTTGCTATGGGACAAGTATACACATTGTTTGGAATCTAAACAACTGAGGTAGGACTCCAAAGGACACATTTATGTTTGGAACATAAATGAAATTAGGTGCCAGAAGTGAGAAAATTTTCAGCATGTTCCACTGCATGTCACACACCAGTCCTCTCACATTTTTTCCTCTCGATTTTCCTTGTCCTCTTGACGGAATTACAGCATATGAAGACACGCCATATTGCCTTGTTTTTCACCTGTTCTAACTGACAGCTCCTTTCTGTTAGTTTGTATTAGGTTTTTATGGGCCACTTTGTTAACAGAAATAAACGGTCAGGGATTATCCTCACTGTTTTCCTGTACTTAAGGCCTCACACGTGCAGGCGTGTGCACCTCCACAGGCACGGCCC